AGAAATACAGACAGAAACATATACTAAAGAAGGAAAACTCCCAAGTAGGCTACTGCACACACGCTATTATGGTTAGATTTGGAGATTGGCATATATCAACATAGCTGGTTGCACTTTAATCATAATTTTCCTATTCTTAGATCAGCTGCAGAACACCAATATACCACAATGACAAACACATTTCAAGAGATTCAAATAGCCTTTGCAACTCACTCAGGCTACAAATTCAATTAGTTCTCAAATCTTTCATTGATTTATTGGACTAACTGTGTTTTCCATCTATTCCTCTGTGGCTGCAGTGAGGGAAGGATACGGCCTAACAGACAAAGCATAAACAAAGGGAAACTGTGGGAGTGAGGCAGACAGATTCTGTTTTTCTGAGTCGACCTGCTCCTCTTCTGTCACACATTCAGGTTCTCCCAGGCTGGTTTCTGGTGCATCATACTTGGAGTTATATATAGCTTGTGTATGCCTCACAGCCCGCCTCAGTATGCAGATGTTGGAAATAAGGTTTATTTTCACCACCTCCCTTCTTTTCCTCCTCGCTATGAAATGTTAATAAGGTAAGCAGCTGCTTAGTTATGCGGTGATGGGAATGAGAGGGAGAGGAGAATGGAGACAGAGAGGCCGGGGAGGGGAGGAGGGAACATGTGGAGGACAAAGGTTGGTTTTTGACACTTGACTGTTTCTGCTCTGCTAGTCCCAATTAATGTCAGTTAGCATCCAAAACAAATCTGTTTTTAATTAATTTGAAGGGCTGCTGTAACCTGGGAGTTGAGAAAATGCCCCAACCCATGGGCTTATGAAATCCACTCAAAATCCACTGGAAAACCTAAATCACTTGACAACTTGTGATGTGAAAAAATCAGTGCAGTAAGATTATTTAAGCCTGTTTTTAATGTAAATTTATGTATTCCTGGTATTTCTATATATAATGTTTAATCTTTACTTGACTAATAAACATGTCAAAAAAACAAAATGTAAAAATGACCAGTTTTTATGATCAGTTACGTACCGGAACTAAGCTTTACAGGTGCTGGTAATGCTAAGCTAAGCTAAACTGGAGCTGCTTGATGAAGACCTGAACATTCAGAAGAGATAATACCACTATAATTGACTTTTTCCCATTATAAATAAGCAAACACTTTCTGTTTTTCCTTTCTCTCTTTTCCCACTGTCTGTTCCAGTCTGGTTTCTCCACATTATAAATAATGCACTTCTTGGCCTTCCTGACTTATCGCCTTTAAAAAGCAGAACGACAGTTAGTACCATTTTCTTATTCTGCACATTGATGTCTGGTTGTCAAATGTAAATGTCAGCACCATGTTCACATTCTGGGCAGGGTCTGTTTGTCATTTGCTTTATGGTGTGTGTGCATTTCCCTTTCTAATGGGCCAAAATACGAGCCCACCCACTTTGAATGTTGATTAGAGGGTCACTAGGGGATTTCCCATGCCATCTTTAAAAGGTACACCATTAGATTTCACTATTTAATTTTGAGAAATGTAATATCTGGATACCATGGATCGTGATGAACTGTAAACCTTTAACTACTTATATTTTAATTCAGATTTTTGCTGTGGCATGTAATGTTAATTTGATGTTAGCGCAGAGAACACTTTCGGCAGCAGCTTCAAAGTATTAATTCCCCAAAACTTCTTGAAGGCTTTTGTTGTGAAGCAGCTGCAAGAAATGTTTTGTTTACAAAAAAGTAAATAAGAGAAAAGGAAACAAACAAATACACAAATTTATTCCAACATGTGACATGGACTTGTAAGTAAAATATAAAATGAAATAAAATATAACATAAACAAGATGTTATGCATAAATTAAAGCATGTCACAGGATAAAAATATAACTGTGTATAGAACTCTCTCTTGCACTAACTAACCCCCACTCCTGTGCACGGGCACTAACTCTTGCTGATTGGCTGAAACAATGTTGTGGGGAAGGTCCACACCACTTTCTTTATTTTCAATGTACAGAGCCACGGCTCTGTAGAAAAACTTTTCAGAGCACACACAAAACGGAGAGCTAGCAAACCAAGAGGAAATATTTGGTGAATTTAACAAAAAGTGTACTGGATTACAATCACTTACTATGCCTTTAAGTGAGTTCTTTTAATGTATGTAAATTTAACATGTTATTTTTTGCAATTTGTAAACTGGTTTGTTGCTACTTAGAAAGACCATGACGATATAAATTACTATGTTCTTGTTTGTTTTAAAACCTTACATAACATTTTCTTTTCACTAACATTTTAGGCTTCTGGAGAATTTTTTAACCATACATTTTGATCAAGTAAACCACATAATCTTGATTTCATAGTTTATATATTTGGAAAAGGGGCCTAGGATTGATCCCTGTGGAACGCCACGTTACCACTGCAGGATCTATTAAGCTACCATAATATCTACATACTGAATGGTAACTTAAGTATAATTTAAACCAACTCACTACTGGATTATCACACCCGATAACCTCTAATTTATTCCATACATTATTTAAAACCATGGGAAAATATGTATAGCTGTATGTCTGTATTTGTTGAAGTGGAAGATTTGTCCTTGTTGCTGAAGAATGTGTTCAATAGTTTGAGGATGATATGCTATTTCGATTTTATTTTCACAGTTGAGTCACAGCACTGACTCAGGTTTTATGTAGCATGCTCAGGTTTTCTCTCCATTTCCTCTTTCATGTCTGCGAGCTCGCCAACGTAGCTTTTCATGGCTCCAAGGCCATAGTGCAATATTAATGCTGCCGCAGAGGCGCCGAGTGCTCTGCAGCTCCCTTTCTCTGCTCTCATCCATCCCCCCCTCTCCTACATCCGTCCTCAGTGCATTTACATTTTATGTATATATACCTGAAGCTCACAATAGGTGTAGTTATATTAAAAAACATCTTTACAACCAAAAGGACAAGATAGAGATAATTGCTTGGAAAAGCATTTACAGTATATAAGAGCTATGGGGAGCAAAGGAAAACATTAAAATGTGGTATAATTGGAATAGATGGTTGAGGGGGTAGGTGTTATGATATATAAATGGGTCGTATGGGGACATAAGACTGGACCACGGCCATTTCTGAATGAGCTGTACAGCGGGGACCAATTGTATTAAACCGTGGTTGCACTGCGGATGCGCTGTGGTCTTTTCAACAATAATAGATAATCTTTACTGATATAGAGGGTGTAGGTTTGGTTTGAGAGGGGACACAATAAAGCATTGGTTATGCTTTGTAACACGGGACTCTTTTTCGTAAAGGCGTGACCTTGTAAGAGCTGGGGTTCTGACATAATAGTTAAAAAGACACACAAACATATTATTAGTCCTATTTGTACCGATACACAATGATAAATAATGTTGTATTTGCATCTTTACTTAAGTTTGCTAGTTCCTTATGTTTGACTGATGTTCAATTGTAATATCCTTTTAGGAAAAATATGAACTGTAAATCAAAATAAAGATTAATGTTTCTTTTTCGTGCAAGAAATATTCAGAGGAGCCTGCTGTATTTTCTTTAGTCTTATGTAATATCTGCAGCGTTCCTCGGAGGATGCAAGCGGCCTCAACATGCGCTAACAATTGGTTGATTAGGGAAACCTGTATGTAATAGAGACAAAGCCCAGGGCAAAAAGGTGCACAAAGCTTCACACCTCCTTGTAAAGCTCATTGCTGTGATCACACATAGTATTAATTGAAAGTGACCTAGATGTATCCATAAACATTTTTATCTTCTCTCATCTGGACTTTGGCAATTTGGCACTTTTGGTAAGTCACAGGACATTGTTTAGAGAGATTTTAGTGAGTAAATCAAATTGAAACTGTAAAAGTTTTAGTAGAGTTATAGTATTGCTTTCCTCTTTATGACTTTTTTATTATAATAACTGACAACATACAAACTGTTGGCCCTCAAAGTCTTGTGGATCAACCAGTGGTGCACTTTGAGGGAGGACCTAGGATTAAACCCTGAGGGACACCAGTAACGTGACAGGGTGGTGAAGACAGAGCGGATCATAAAATAGAAGCAAACCATGACTCTAACTCCCTCTGTTTTTCTGTCTGTCTTCTCACAGGATGCATTCCTGTTCAGTGTATCCATCGTCAGTGGCTTGGTGTGCATCTTCCTGGCTGTGATCAAGTTTATGCTTGGCAAAGTGCTCACAAGCAAAGTCCTCATCACTGATGGTAGGGGTACACACATGCTCAAACACAGCAGACTTGCAGGACATTGTACTGCCCTTCCTTTTTAGGACCATAATCTTTAAAGTTGCATAGTTTTTTTTAAATTTGGAAAGATGAGCTTGTTTATTACACTAATTCATTAGTAATACGTATGTTTCTTTAATTAACTGTCCTGCATTGTCCATTTACTGTCAGTCTTTCCATACACATATATGTGTGAAGGGTTTTCTAGTCATTTCCTAGTAATAGTGTCACAGTGTGACTTCCAGTGTGATACATTGGTGTCGCACTCATGCTTACATTCCTTCCATGGAGTAACAGATACTGGTCGTTATGCAACGGTTCGTCACCTACACAAGGCCGTGGGCAGTTGCATTTTGATTTAACGAGATGACCTTTCTGTATTAGAGGCATTTGAAGAATCTGTATTAGAGGCATTTGAAGAATCTGTCATGCCACTGTTCATTTTACGCTGTACACTGCACATGCTACTTTCTATACATTGTTGACCATATTATCTGCCCAGAGAATTCACCAGTGGTTTAGTTACTGCTGTTTACATTCCTCCAAGAAATGCACTGCACTGTATGAGGTTATCAGTCCCACAACAAAACAACCTGATGGTATTTTATTGTAGCAGGTGATTTAATCAAAAAGACCGAAATTCCACCAGCATGTCCACATCCCCACGAGAACAAATACACTGGACCATGTTTACAGAAACATTCCAGGCAGCTACAACAGGGGCGGCTTAATTTGTTCATTAGGGCGACCAGGCGACGCATCACCAAGCCGGGGATTTTTCTCACACTTTCTACCACACTGTTAGTTAGCTGTGACTGTTTTTGACAGTTTGTCTCTGAATATCGCTGTCCAAACAGCATCAAGTCGTGTTCCGTGGAGTCCCGCCTCTTTTGAGGCAATTTCAGGCTGGTAGTAAATCGCCCAGATCTCTCTCATAGACTTTCATGTTAAGGCAGTTTTTTTCGAGCTGCGGCCGCTGCAATGCAATCTCTATGGGTTACGGGAGGGCTAGCACTAACGTGTTTACGCCACGCACCAAGCAGCACAGCTACGCTTCTGCCACCTGAAAATAGCTCTGCACTCCTCCAGCTTGTTGCTCTCACTACGACCAGCTGCTGTACAAAATGTACATTCATGCTGAAAATTCAACCGTGGTGTCGGGAGATGCAGCGACTTTACCAGCGGTGAGTAAGACACAGTTTAAATAATACATGTAATTTGTTAAGCTATGAGGAGAGGAAAAGTCCGCTAGCCAGAAGGCTAATTTATGCTCTGTAAAATGCCATAGGCTAAGCTAATAACTGTGACTGTAAAAAAAAATCTTGATAGTTATTATTAAGCCGAATTTTATGCTTATGTTAAATGTGATTGTTATTAAGCCATGTTTTATATGTGTTGGTGGAGTCAATTTAAAGTTAGCTGCACTTAACCAGTAACAATAATCTGATGTGTTGTTTTTTTGTTTTATTGCCAGAAACCGAAGAAGAAAGAGGAGGTAGCCTGATGTGGCCACCACCACTGGCATCTTGTCAGAGGAGGGTAAAAAGAAGTAGGAAAGCAACACAGAAAATAAACCAAAAACAATAGAATATACCTTTTATATTTCCCCTTACATGCCTTGTTGTTTATGTGTAAATACTGCGCTTTATTCTGAATTTGTTGTTCCTAAATAAAAGGTTTGTCACAGATAAATCAGATGAGTGTGAGTGTCATCCTTTTTTTCATTAATGCTAAAGTAGTTGCCTTTACATCCAAAGGTGTGAAGATCTGTTGATCTTAACTGTGGACTGTTCATTCATTGTAGGCATTGACAATGAACTTCAGTATGTAGCACAAATACTGTACAGTATGTAGCCTAAGGAACAATCCTTGTCTTATAGCAGAATTAGACCATTGAACTGGTCACCTTAGCCATCATCGCAACAATTGCCCCCCCTGAGAAATTTGTCAGGAGCCGCCACTGAGCTACAAAGCCCTCCCATGTCCCAATTTTGGTTTATCAGACCATATTTCCCTCCTTCTCCTGCCCACTAACACGCAAGCTGATTAAAATGGTCAAACCAACAGTAAAAACTGTTAACTGTTGACAGTGACGAGCGCAGCGTTTTTCCCAAAGTTGAACATTTTTCAACTCTCGGCGACCGGAAAAAAACGCTCAGCGCCCAGCGTGGAAAAGACTCTCAGTGCCTCGTCACGCTCCTGCCGTTTTTACCAGCTTGCACAAACGCGGCGCTCCCATTGCAATGAATTGAAAAAAGACGCTGCCGTGAACACGGGGCCTAAAGGACAGTACCCACCCAGCCACAACTGGTTCAACCTGCTGCTGTCTGGCAAGAGATATAGAAGTATCTGCTGTTATACTACAAGACTTCAGAGCAGCTTCTCAACCCATCTACTGTATAATTTTTGTATAATGTTTGCGTTTTGTGAGTAGCATAAAGGGAACTACAACTTCATCTCGTTTTACAACCCTGTGCTGTAATATGATAAAGAAAGAGGCCAAAGCAGTCAATATTTCACGTCCACTGTACTCTCAGCAGGTGTCTGTGGGAAGCCTAAACACATAAGGGAATGAAATCCAACACTGACCCTACAAAACCCTTATCAGATGACTTTATATAAGATGTTTTCCAACAGAAAAATGTTCTCTCCTCCCAGGATTCAACTCACTAGTGGGGGGAATTATGGGGTTCTCCATCCTCATCAGTGCTGAAGTGTTCAAGCATGAACCCAAGGTGTGGTACCTGGATGGGACAATAGGCATCCTGATAGGTCTTATCATCCTCGCCTATGGAGTCAAGTAAGTGGTTACTAGAAGTTATTAGAAGAACAGTTTATAAATGATTGTGTGACAATATGTACAGTTTGCTGGTAGTAAATCTGAATATATGAAGATTTAATGTTCAGTCCTGCAAGGGTTTTTGTAATATATGTAGCTCTGGAGACTTTACATTGTACAGCTATTCAGCCTAATTTGTAATTAATGATGTCATCACTTCAATTCAAAAGAAACTACACTGCCAAGCTACATTTGTTGACAAGGCGTTCATCACAAGTTATTATTAAAGCTTGGTTAAATAAGAATTTTTATAAACAATATAGGGAGGAACATCCATCCAGCAAATATAAACTTGTATGCAGATGATACAGTTATCTATACAGTTGGCTTGTCTTGTTTACTGATCTCAAACTGCCTTCCACAAACAGCTGTTTTATAATTAAAATTAAGCCTACACAAAAAAACTTTCTTCAGAAACCATGCCGATTCTGTACAAACATTGAATTGAATTATTACTTTATACAAAAAAACATGGAGTCATGGAGGATGGGGAACCATCTTTCTCATGAGCCCTCAGAAGAGTTTTTGATTTTAATCTGAAGCATTCATCGCTGCTGATGCAGTGACATTTTTGGCCTAGAGTTACAGCCACAACCTGAAATTAATTCAAGACTGTCTGCAGCGTCTCAATAAGTCAGAATGGGATGCATGTCTTTTTTCTATTTAAGGGGATCAAAGTGTTTGAATCGACTCTCAGTTTTTCCTATGCTTTCTAAAAAGCCCCCTCTTCTCCCACCGCAGGCTGCTGCTGGACATGGTCCCACGGGTCCGACAAACCAGGAACTACGAGCGTTTTGAGTGACGGACCACAGAGTAAAAGAAAGAGGGCGAAGAGGAAGGTTTGGGAGCGGGTTGGCTGACTGATTGACAGGAGAAGGATGGGGATTACTGTCCCTACAGTCTCTCCACAGACAATCACATTCAGTGCCAGTGGAGACGTCTGTGTCTATATAGTCCTTCCATTCAAAGATTTGAACTGAGCATCCAGGCTGATATTGAGTGAGGGCGAATCAAATTCTTGGCCCCTTTTAAGTGTTTTACAATTTGGTGTACATATAATACCTTTATCTGTCTTTTAACAGTGTATGGGGCAGTCTGTTCTTTCATGCCTCCACATTTAAACAAGATTGAGGAAGTTAACTGTGAAAGGGAGTTAAACCTGCTTAAAAATAAAGGTTGACTCAGTGACAGAAGAGACAGCAATGACCAAATAGTACAGAGACATGCTTGTACTGCAGCGTACAGGAGACTTATGGAACCTGAGAGACAGATTTTTGCACAGCAAGTTGATGTACAATACCTCAGTTACACCTCATTGCCCTGTCAAAACACAGCAGTTTATTTTTCCCATGGTTCCTAGAGGCCTTTACTCAGCTGTGCTATAAAAGGTTGCAGTGTGGCAGATCAAACTGATTGATGTAGCTGATGTAGCAGTGGAGTATTAATGGTGTTTTACCTTCATATGACTTGAGAGGATATATCAATACAAGGCCCATTTGCCATAGGGAGCAGGTATATAAGCAAACACACAAACACACACACACAGCCATGTGTTACTATCTTTGTGGGTACCCTTACCCAAACCTTAACCATCACAACTACATGCCAAACCTTAACCCTTGCCCTAACTTTAATCTAATTCTAACCTGAACCCTCAAATCAAGTCATAACTGTCAAACAGACCTTTAAACTTGTGGGGTGCAGCATTTTGGTTCCCACAAAGCTGTCAGACTCCACAAGTATAGTGGAATCCTGGTTTTTGGACCCCACAAATAAATTAAAACAAGCCTGCACACATTTTTGTTCTTCTATGCCCATGGGGACATCTCATTGAAATAATGCATTCCCTACCCTCTTACCCTAACCTTAACCATCATAACTACATGCCTAACCCTAGCATTGACCTAATTTCAACCTGATCCCTAAAACCAAGTCTTAACCCTCACAAAGTGACACTAGTGACGAAACCCCATCACTGCATTCAAGTTATAGTCCCCATCGGGATAAAAACACACACACACACACACACACACACACACGTGATTTGCTTATTTATCTAGACTGTTGTGGCTGGAGCCGGGAAGCCTAGAGTGGACACTGTTTCAGCAACCTCATGCCAACGCCAGCTTACAGTTCTGGAGGATAAAAATCAGCAGTTTTGGCATTGAGTGACATAAGAGAGTCCAGACTTGTCTCAGCCTCCAATTCACTGACAATGTGACAGAAGGAAAATGGCAGAAACCAGCTCAGTTTACTTCAGGTTGCCACTTTTGTTTTTATTGTTGTTGAAGCTAAAATGACAAACCCAAGAATATAAATTGTACATTCACAACTTGCGCCATCTGCTGACCAGAAGAGGTACCTGCCACACAATTGTGAATATACACTCACCTAAAGGATTATTAGGAACACCATACTAATACTGTGTTTGACCCCCTTTCGCCTTCAGAACTGCCTTAATTCTACGTGGCATTGATTCAACAAGGTGCTGAAAGCATGTTGGAATGTTGGCCCATATTGATAGGATAGCATCTTGCAGTTGATGGAGATTTGTGGGATGCACATCCAGGGCATGAAGCTCCCGTTCCACCACATCCCAAAGATGCTCTATTGGGTTGAGATCTGGTGACTGTGGTGGCCATTTTAGTACAATGAACTCATTGTCATGTTCAAGAAACCAATTTGAAATGATTCGAGCTTTGTGACATGGTGCATTATCCTGCTGGAAGTAGCCATCAGAGGATGGGTACATGGTGGCCATAAAGGGATGGACATGGTCAGAAACAATGCTCAGGTAGGCCGTGGCATTTAAACGATGCCCAATTGGCACTAAGGGGCCTAAAGTGTGCCAAGAAAACATCCCCCACACCATTACACCACCACCACCAGCCTGCACAGTGGCAACAAGGCATGATGGATCCATGTTCTCATTCTGTTTACGCCAAATTCTGACCATCTGAATGTCTCAACAGAAATCGAGACTCATCAGACCAGGCAACATTTTTCCAGTCTTCAACTGTCCAATTTTGGTGAGCTCTTGCAAATTGTAGCCTCTTTTTCCTATTTGTAGTGGAGATGAGTGGTACCCGGTGGGGTCTTCTGCTGTTGTAGCCCATCCGCCTCAAGGTTGTGCGTGTTGTGGCTTCACAAATGCTTTGCTGCATACCTCGGTTGTAACGAGTGGTTATTTCAGTCAAAGTTGCTCTTCTATCAGCTTGAATCAGTCGGCCCATTCTCCTCTGACCTCTAGCATCAAGGCATTTTGCCCACAGGACTGCCGCATACTGGATGTTTTTCCCTTTTCACACCATTCTTTGTAAACCCTAGAAATGGTTGTGCGTGAAAATCCCAGTAACTGAGCAGATTGTGAAATACTCAGACCGGCCCGTCTGGCACCAACAACCATGCCACGCTCAAAATTGCTTAAATCACCTTTCTTTCCCATTCTGACATTCAGTTTCAAGAGATTGTCTTGACCAGGACCACACCCCTAAATGCATTGAAGCAACAGCCATGTGATTGGTTGATTGGATAATTGCATTAATGAGAAATTGAAAAGGTGTTCCTAATAATCCTTTAGGTGAGTGTATTTGCATCTAATACAGCTGGAAGTCTTTGAACACAGCGCTTTGAAATAGGTCTTCTACAAAGCTCTGCACCGACTCTAAGGACATTTACAGGTCAAACAAAGTTTTTTTTAACATGTAAGATAAAATAGAAAGTTCAGTTCCTGCACACTGTCAGCAATGAGTTCATTAGAGATGCAACATTTCCACCATGGATCTTTGTCAGGCATTAAATTCACATATGAAGCATTATACTTTATGCTTTGTAAAGTTTATACTAGAGCCTAAGGCTGCAACAACCAATACACTAAGGAAGTAAATCTCAAACACATCAAAAATGTATAAAAACTCCAAATGAAATACCTTTAGGTAAGGTAAACTTAATAGGTAAGTTTAGAAACGGATGGATGTGTTTGGTTCTGGCTAATCTTACTATTTTCTGACAGCAGAGGTTCGTCAGCTCACCTGAGCTTTCCAGACTAACGTGCTCTCTTCAGCTGATGTCCACCTTCTTCTTACTTTCACTGCCTTCACTTCCATAGGACGTTGTTTAATTTAGTTGGCCTAATTCAATAAATGACATCTGTTGAGTTAAGCTCTTGCATGGACTCCCTCCTTGATAGGTGAGCCAGTTTGTGACAAACAGGAGCTTGTCGTCACATTTTGAAGTTTAACTGGGCTTGGTTGGTGTTGCTACCTCCTGTAACAGAAGGGAGCTTGTTTGTTGGTTTGTCCAATTAGGTTTCTGGTCATTGTTTGTGTATGTTGAAGGAATGCTAATTAAAATACTTTTGGGTAGTTAGCTTAGAGGTTGGTGAAAAGTTTAGCATCATGGATGGTTTTAGACCTTTTAGAGACACAGTTTGTTTGTGAATTAGGGTAAGCGCTGGTCACGTGATTTCAATTGCTAAGAGCTATAAATTCCCTCTAGGCTGGAGTGGTTGATCTCAACAGGACACCAACTAGTTGGTTGTTTTTTGTTTGAATGTGATAGAGTCTTGGTTTAAAAAAAAAAAAATGTCTCGGAATAATCCCTCCCTGGTTTCCTGCCTTTTGGTTCCAGCGCAGTCAGTTCTCCCCACAAGCATCTATATAAAGAAGAGGATGGAGACTAGTTTGCTAGATCATAGATTCGGTTAGATTAGGGTTTTGGTAGCTTGGCCTCTGTGTAAGTGTGGTGTAATGAAAATAATTTGGTGCCTGTCTATAATGAACTCTGACAGTGTGCGAGATGGTTTCTTTGGCATAAATTCATGATACGACGCGTTTGTCTACCAGCTGTGACTGAGAAAACTCTTCAGTCACTTTCAGTGCATACTATGAAATATTTCAGTATCATACTGTGAAGGATTCCACTTTCCAGCTCTTTCAGTACTGATGGTTCGGTGGGGAGGCTACTGATAAGGAGACGTTGGCCAACTGCAGAGCTAATCAGAGTGATTGGGGGGGAAAAAAGATGGGAAATACTGTGTGCATGAATCCACCACTGTCCAGAGTTAGCCCAAACTGATCTGAAGTTTACACTGAAACTGGATGTCTGTTGAACTGATGTAGGGTCATCATGTCCGCTAACTTACAGTTTTATGAGCCACTGCATTGTTAAGCATCACTTTGACTGTGATTGTACATGAAGCCTGATCGTTGTAACCAGTGATGAACACGTTATTGGTTCCAAATCTGTGAAACTGGCCAGTGATGGTTTTAGTCAATATTTATCTTCTTGATATTGTGTCCAGAGTCAACATGTGTCCTCTGTTATCTGGAGCTGCTGTTTGTTTTGGGATTTAAAAGGGCAACTCCTAATCTTTCTGCTGAATTAAGTATGTTGATTGAGGTTACTCAGATTTATTTATGACTAAAGGCAAAAGCCTTTTTTTTTTTTTTTTAAATAAACAAGATGTTATTTAGGTCTGGTGTTAGTAGACTCTCCACTAGCTTCACTTCACTTTCCACCAGTATGTCTGCCAGTTGGAGGTGTAACTCATGAGCAAAGAGGCAGTTTTAATACATGAAACGACCAAAATGACCTAGATGGAAAGACACTTTTCAGATGCATTTCATATTCCCTAGGTAACTATATCAAAGCAGCACCTCTGCAGCTCTTTATACCTGTGTGTGCAGGCTTATCTTCCTTTTTAATGGTGTTTGCTTTTACCTTGAAATTTCAATGTGAATACTGTAAAAGCTCAATTCTGAGTTTGCTGTATCACAGTGGATACAAAACTGTTCACAGGCATTGGAAAGGAAGCTCTTATTTACTAAAATATGTACCTTGAAATCATTAATCATTTTCTTTCCATTCCATCCATGCTCATTTTTAACTCCAAAGCCTTAATCTTTCTGCTCAGTGTTTAGCGACTGTAAAACATGAATGTAATTATCAGGTGGAGTTTCAGCTGTCAGAAAGTTGATTATCATAGACCGCAGGTGCGGGAAGGAGGACGCATTTTTCATGAGTATTCATATGTTTTTCCTCAAGTCTGTGTTTCCTGCTGTGACTGTAACTGAATGTACACACTGTGCTGTGACACTGGTTTATCCGGCGCACATACTTGTGACTATGTTGGTTTGTGTTTAGTCAGATTTAAGGACTCTAATTTGAGTACACTATGCCGGTGTAAATACTGAAATCTGTGTTGCTGTGATGTAAAACAAATATTAAACCTGAGTCAGAGCCTTTTGTCACAGAAAAAAGGTTTATTTAAAAATAAAGTTATATCCCTCTTACTCGTCAAGGACTGTGTGAAAACAAAAAAATGTTGTCATTGCGTTATTCACCTCCTGCTGCTTGGACCACAATCATCCCTGGTGTTTCAGACACTGATGCTAACGGACAGCTTCAAACAAGGCGGAGACTGAATTATTGATAAAATGTTTGTATGACCAAGTAGCAGTGGTTTTGTTTTTGGATACAATGTAGACATTCGACAGTGAAGAAAACATTGGTGTTTCAGTTTTCAGGAACAGACAGAGCTGATTTCTGCTGAAACCAAACAGCTGATAATCTGATGGACAGCATGCTTTGAATAAGTCTGACTAACATAAAGTAAGTGCTGCAACAAAATCAGTCTGACCGACTACTCGTCAGCTGCTCACAGAGAGGGGACAGAGCTCTTATTTCTGTTAAGATGTGTCACTGGAGGTTAAAATGTTTTTATTGAGGGGGAAAAAAACATCTACGCCACATTTCACTGTTGGTTTGTTTTCTAGTATGAACTCAACTGGACTCTCACATGTACAACGGTGAGGATAAGTCTGGTGATAGTCTATATATTATTAACAAATAAGATTCCTTCAAAACAACAAACACGGGCACGCCGTCCTGCTGCCAGAAATATTCTCTAAAGCAAATGGGTATTAATCCGCAGCTGAAAATAGTGCCCAGCAAATGCAAAATTTCCTCCTGTGCCCAGTGCTTTAGTTTTAGCAAATTTCTATATATTTGTCAGCCATTTTTAAAAGTTTACATCTTCTGTAGGAACCAATAGGCTTTGGGCTGAGAGCAACCGAGGGTAGGGGACTCAGGAAGAATTGAGAGACAGACTAGCATGGTGTTTGGATTTGCAGATCAGTTGACAATAACAAAACTACAGATCATCAGCAGCCCTATCCTTTAAATTAAAGGATAACACCACTGTTGTTCCTTTCTCACTGTATCGCTGCTTTAGACGTAGAGTCTGAAATGCAAGACAACAGAATGCTGTGAGTAATCAGTTTAAGGCAATAAAACCAGAAAGCCACTTTAAGTATAGTACATGTGCTGCATTAATCTGATTACTCCAAAACACCAGTTTATACAGAGTTTCTAATACTGCAGAAAAACTGGTTATTGCTCATTTATTCACTGGGGAAAAGGGACACACATTTTGTGTTCACATGGATGCTTCTGAAATCAAATTACTGCTGGAAGTGGGTAATCCAATTACTAGAAAGCACGTAAATCCACTGAAAAGATCCTAATGTTTTCAAGAATGGACCGCAACATGTGTTGAACTGACATTTCACACTGTTATTCTCCTTTCTTCCTAAATCCTAAAATCACTGAAGGTTAACAGTGAATGGCCAAACAGTATTTTCCAAACCTGAACAACTCAACCGGGGTGTAACAAATCACAAGGTTTGGACTGATTACATAAAACTAAACTGCATTAAATTAAAATGATATGAAAATTCAATAATTTCAAATATACTGAACAATGAAACTGATTTAGGAAAGGCTCTTGAATGAATCAGAAAAAACTGATTCCTTTATCTGATCTGTGGAGTTAAATGAGGGACTGAAGGTTATATCATGAGTGTGTGAATTGTCTTTTCCAGGCTCCAGACGTGAACCCTGACCTCTGACATGCCACAACAGACTGTCAAACACAAGCAGGAAAAAAAAAAAAACTCAACCATGAAAAGGCACATCATGTTCTTAGAAACACTAACTTGGCGGCAGATCACGGACCTGTTTAAAAAAGTTTTTCAAAAAAACATTAAAAACAGTCTGAGCTGACAAGGTGAGAGAGGACAGGTAGTGTACCGCAGCTGACCCGTGCCGTTCAGTCTGAATATACACGTGCAAACAGAGACAAACTGAGATTGTAAATCAAAGCACAAAAGTGTATGAGGCTCCTGCTGGCTTTCGCAATGAAACAAGACACGTTTGTCCACTACTGTCCATCTTCAAGAGACAGTGATGACAGGAAGAACAAAAGAAAAGACACACGCGCACACACACAAAAAAAGGCCCAAATATAACTCCGTATTATGGACAGGAGTGTTACTCCTCACATCACTGCTATAAGCTGAACAGAAGTAGACAAATCCTCCCCACCTTCATATACTTGAACATAAGCTTGCTTATTTTTTATTCTTTTTGTTTAAATTACTCTCCATAAATAAAAATCTATAAAAAAGGAAAAAAGCAGGAAAACACCCCTCTTATAAATAAAAAAAACCAAAGATTTCCAGCAAAACACAGAGATAAAGATCTGTATACAAAATAAATACAAAAGAAAAACTTTAAATCCAATATGAACAATATACAGTGTCACTGATACCTTGTTAAACCTCTGCAAATAGATTAACGTAGTGCATTTTTTCCCCCATTCACCACAAGAACTACGAATTTTATTTTCATTTTAATTTTTTTTTCTTTGCAAATCTGCAGGCAAATTAAGATTCTAACGATTATTCAAAGGAAACTAGGAGATGCGAAGTTGTGCGTTGCAGGAACGCTTTGTTGGCACATTTTTTGTTGCGTACAGTTTGCTCGAAAGGATTTACAGCAGTTGTCTGGTACATGGGGAGAGGAGTGTGGAGCTGTGTATTCTCTAACAGTTGACTTTGTGCACATAAAGACAAAACAGACAAAACATCTCTGGAAGGTTTTCATGTTTCTCTGCAGGCGCTGGGAAAACGTGTTGCTGTTAATGCTCCCTAGCCTGCGATGCCTCGAGGTGTTACCGCTGCTACTGACGACAGCCTATCATCTATGACACAACGTCACGGCATCCTACGACTCCGACGCAAGAGCTTAAGCTACAGAGAATGACCCTCAACCTACTCCCCGATCCTCACCGCTCAGTGTGTGTGCGTAGTACCTTATTTTGAACAAACAAATATTTACGCATACACTACTGGCCTTTCATAGAAACACACACGCTCGACCCTCTTTGTAACTTTTTGTCACCATCAAATCATTTAAAACAAGTGTGCAACTTAAACGTATGAAAATCAAGGGGCAGACCGTGCCCACGAGTGACTGCGACTGGACTATTCTGTCTTTTGAAGGGGGAATGCAGACCACCTTAATTTCTGGAATATGTGTCAGGAAATGATAAAACGTCCAGAATAAAAATCTAGATATCTACGTTACATGTCCGCTCTCATCGCGTTCAACCAGATGAGAGGAGTTGGTTACAGTGTAAAACTGGGTTCTTCTTAAGCCACCATCTGTTAAGCCTGGGACAGTCCCCCTGTGTGTGTGTATATGTATGTGTGTGTCTGTGTATGGGGGGGGGGGAGCGGGCCTTCAGGCATGCCAGTCCAGTGCAAACCTACCTAAAGAATAAACAGTTTCAGATTGACCAGGGGGAGGTGGATGGAGGGGGAGGGGGTTGGCTGTCAGGAAGGGGGCATTTCAGTCTCCTTGGTCCCTTGCTGCTCTGGTGAACCTGAAGACAAACAGGCAGGCAGTCACTGATATGTGGAGTCTACCAAGGTGGCAGAAGAGAGCTCGTTTGCTCCAATTTTAAAGTCTGAGACGTCTCCCTTTGTTGATTCAAGTAATTTTTACACTGCTTCCAGGACTCGCAGCGCCACCGCTGGTGAACCGGATGGTTGACGGGTGCTTGGGTTGGCTGCAGGAGTGCTTCACTTCCAGCAGCTGGGGGAAACAATAAATATGATGAAGACGCTCGGTCCTATGAATGTTTTTTCTGTCCAGACAGCTTCCCACAAAAAAGTCAGGCGTGTGTGTTTGACTGATAGCTGCATGTCTCGCAAACACACTCACACACTTGTTAAGCTGTTTCGATTTCATTTAACCTCATCCAGCCATGCCCCAAACCCCCTAAAAATCCGCCCAATCCTCTGTCAGCCCCCCCACCCCATCAGCCTGTGTGCTGGTGCTATAGGCAGTCTTTGCAGAGCGCCACCTGGCCCTTCATGTAGTCGCGGCAGGGGCAGATGCGCTGCAGCGATGGGTGGGAGCCCGCGCAGCTGAACAGTAGCAGGTCAGACTGGAAGATGCAGTGGTGGCGAACCTCACTATAGGCCGGGACCACCGTGTCGGCGCTCGACTCCACCGTCTGACAGTCCACGCCAAACCTGAGACAAAGGCAGAGAGAGTGTCCTTCACTTTTTATGCTTACTGACTAACATTTGTGTCTGTAAATGTTTAAATTTGAATAGGAAGCAGAGAAATGATCAGACAAGCTGAGCAGGACAGACAGAGGGGACACACTCAACTCAAGTAATGTTCTCCACCATCAGTGATGAGCCTTGACCCACTTCTTCCAGTAAACAAACTGGGCCCTCCAGTGGTAATAACATGAAACTGCAGTTTCAATCACTTCATCTTTATTCACCACTTGATGACAAACTACAAATTAATTCAGGCCTGTGGCATGCTGCCACCTAGTGGCCGGCCACTTAACTACAACTGGCGGAGCATGTGTATCTGCTCACGTTTCAATGTATATACGTGTGTTTGTGTCCCACCTGGCCAGGTCCTTGTCCTTGTTGAGGTGCTGGAAGAAGGAGGGCTCACAGATGAGCTGCTCCTCCTGACACACCTGCTTACAGGTGCGACCAGGCTCGGCCAGTTTGACCTGCAGAGCGCTGAGAGGAGGCCACATCACCTGGCCGTGGCAGAAGTCCTGACAACACAACGCGACGGAAATACAGTTATGTTACTGAAGAACAGAAGCTCATACAAACAGACATGATTCTAGTGAGTCAAGCCATTCATCTGGTATGACACAGATGATTAAAAATCATTAATGCATTAACTATTTCAACAAATACAGGCACCGAAACTGTCCTAACAAGATAATCAGTAATCATGTTGCTGACAAAAATGTTTTTTTCCAGTTCAAGGAGGTCACTAATGCATTTATGTTATACACTTATTTTTAATTACTGAATTGTCACTTAACATGGTTACTGCACACAGCTAAATAACATAATTAAAAGACATTGTTGCTTACTTTGATTGAAATCCTTCAAATACAAAATACATTATTATATATTCTATTCTATATTTTTGTTATGTATATCTTATTCCAATAATATAGTTTTTGTCATGGTGTATATTTTGAAAATTATATATACATTTCCCCATGTTCTGTCTGATTGTTGCACACTGGTTTTAACACAGTAAAGCTTCAATCACACTTAAACTACAAAATAAAGAGTGTTTATAAATGATCACTTCCATTACATTAGAGTTATTAATCTATGCATTTGACTCATAGCAGCTGAAATAGTTGGCATTTAAATCACCAACTTTCATTCAGCTATAATCAAGTCTCAGATTCTGACATACTTGTATGCTGAGGTAACATCTACAGGCTGTACCTGGTTTTCAATGAAGGCGTTGACTCTCTGCAGCATCCCCTCGCAGGTGAACTCATAGGGCAGGTAGGGCTCAATCTGATCAGACAAACACAAAACACAGACAAAGAAGTGTCAGGGGAGGATACTTCACTGTGTGTGTGTGTGTGTGAGAGCTCAGCCTGGTGAAATATCAACCCGGTGTCTGCCTTTTGATTCCTGTCGACCTGCACAGGCTCAAGATTCGCAGAGGGGAAAACTTCAAAAAGGAAGGACCAACTGAAGCCTTTGTTTGCAGTGCTGCTAAGCCGCTCGCTGCTTTCTCTGTGTCTTTGTGCGCTGAGAGGAAGAGGAAGAGGAGGAGGGGGGGGAAGAGGGAGGGCGCGCGGGCCAAGCCGGAGCCTGGTAGGCTGCGGCTTGCCACGGATCACAAAGCATACGAGGCTCCGTGGGCTTGTCCGGTGAACCAAGCCATTGTTCCGACTCGCTCGGCGGGGCACAAAACAACACGAGGTCCCGCGGCTGGCCTTTAAATATGCATGGACGCGAAGACGGAACAGGATCTCCCTTTCTTTCCCCTGTGCTTTCACTCATCCTCCATCTCTGGGTAGGTTTCCATTCAAGCATTTGTTCCAACCAATTATGATAATATGTTGATAATCCATGAGCCTTCCCTGCTTTTCATTCAGATCTTCTTCATCCTTTCATCTCACCACCACCAGTGTCTAGACTCCATCACGGGGAATTTCAATGCCTCTGCAGCTTCAACCCCTTTAAATGTTGCCAAATTGACTTTTCACATTCTCAAATTCAATGTATCACAATAAATGATTTTAACACTTTTTTCGTGTACCTCTAACATGAATGACTTGTATTTACATCATGTATTAGAGTGCTGTAAATTTGAATTACGACTGAGGCAATCAGTAAGTTAATCAATTAGTCAACTGACTGAAAATTAATCAGCAACCATTTTGATAATCAACTAATTTTTTTTCAAGCAATGAAAAGAAATCCAGTTCCAGCTTCTTTGATGTGAAGGTTTGCTGCTTTTCCTTTGGTTTTTGGTTATTGGACCAAACAAGGCTTTAAATATGTCAATTTATGCTTTAAGAAACTATGATATGGGACATTATTTATTTTTACTATTTTTTGATATTCTATGAAAATCAACTGAGTAGCAGCATTACTTTGCAATAAGAAATTGCCAAATTGCCGAATTTTACTGACTGAATCCCACAAAACAGTAATAATTATGAGGCAGTCATCTCATAAATGTTCCCATCTTTTTACGCCATCGTTTTATATTAACGCAGACATTTTTTAAGGAAAGGTGTTCCCGTGTTTACCTTCTGGCTGAGGATCGAGCGGATGGCCCGCTCCACCTCGGCAGAGTTCTCGATATCCACCGTCCACACGTGGGGTTGACCGATGTACACCTCAGCATACGGATGTTGAGAGGTCAGCTGCGGACAACCACGAAAGAGTAGAGGTTAGGAAGAAAAACTAAAAAGTAATATCTTGAGAAAAAGAGCAAGGAAAGAGTAAAAACTTGTGTTTGTGTCGCCAAAGATCTCCTTCGCTCACCTCTCTCAGAGTGGGTTTGCCCTTGAAGAAGTCTGTGTTTTGCTGCTCTTTGGAGGGTTGAATTTGGGGTTGAGGAACGCACAGCCGTTGGCAATGGCCTCCAGGGGGGCAGGTCCCTCGTAGGGGAAGGACAGACCCACAAACAACTGCAGTGGAGAGAAAATTTAGAGGACACCAAAATGATTAGCCTCCACATGCATGTTATATTTAATCAAAACCAAGAGAGGGGTTGAACTCAGGATAAACATGAATTAAAGTATAACCTGAGAACATTTGTGCTAACTCTGCCTTTAATTAAAGCCACACCAACTTAAGTCTGTGTTCACACTTTTTTCAAGCTGCCAGCATGGGTTCATCACTGAAGGTGGGAAGGAGCTACTGACATAATCAGAATAAAAAAAAACAGCAGGTGGAAGTGGAGAGGTAGAAAATTTCACCGGCTGCTTTGAGGAGTTTCTGCTGTTTGCTGATAGCAGCAGTTAGCCCTTGTTGAAACAAACCTCCCATGTTATCAGCACAAACTGCATTTGAGGCAGCACTTTTTCTCTATGAAACAAGGGAGGAAAAACAAGCAGAATAATATGAAGACATCGCTCTAATGTTTATTCCTCCCATAGGCCGCTAGGAGTTTGGTAAAGAGGGAGTACTGTGGATATTTTGCAGTTGGAAACACACTATATCTCGGCAGCCCGATGAGAATTAGAAAAAAACAGTAACTCGATTAAAGATGTTTACAACACTTTACAAATCTGAAACTACTCATTTAAAACACCATGAACACCACATGAGCCGCATCACTTAATCTCAAAATACTGACCCTGATCTTTAGTTAACACATGTTTCTTCCACTTCAATCAGTGGTTCCCAAACTTTGTGGCTTGTGGCCAGTTAAAATGAAAACACTTGTGACTGGTTCGCCCAGAGTGTTTTCCTTTTCCTTGAATCATTTTTAGAATATGCAAATCCTGAAATCATCCGGTAATTCTAAATGATTAAGAGACATTTGAGTAGAAGAATATTTCTTATATTGGTGTAATTAACTGTGTTATCTTCTTGTTTTGTGTTTGAACTGTATTCATTCAGCAAAGCTTCACCCGAGTGGAGGAATAAGAAGGCTGCTCTTTCACTTTCCCCAACCAAACTTATCTTACTGGTTCAGGGATCGGGCCGCCGACCCTCCGGGTATAAGCCTATTTCTCTTACGGTTAAAGAAGTGGGCTTGGGGAGCGCCTTGGTGAACGACTGGTTACAGCGCATGCAAAATGGCCTCATCTGTCTGGTTCAATTCCCCGTTTCTCCTCACCTGTCACTATGCAATAAAAAGACAAAATGCCCCAAGCAGGCTTGTGTTTATTGACAGTGAGGCCCTAAAAAGAGCTCATAAAATAATTCTGCTGTGGATTTTGTCCTCCATCACTTACACTGGAAGCATGTTAGGAAGGGACATTTGAACAGGAGGACTGGATACAAGTAAACAATGTGAACCTATCCTTTAAACGCTAGATACCATTTAATAAGAGAAATAAAAAACATATGTAAAGATAAAAATAGGTGAAAAGATGAGCGCTTAATGTTCAGTCAATGTTGAGGGAGAAACTAAAAGTGTTTAACCTGAATTTAGATGGTAGACAAAGTCAAGCTCTGTGGTGCATAGTAACCAAAGGCTTCTTCTCTATGTTTACTGTACATATTGTTTGTTCTGTGGGTTTTCTGAAAAGCCCATAGTCCTACTCACATCAAGTATGTACAGTACATATAGAAAACTATAGGGCGCTGTAATAACAAGTTCACTCCTCCAGGATGGGAAGAGCAAATATTTGAGAGTCAGTAGCAGTGTGCTGCAACCAGAGGCAGCTTTTCAACATGAGTATGAGACAGTCCTCCAGAAACGAGTGAGCGAGCAGGGAGGGATGGAAGTGGAGATGGTGGCGGTGGTGGTGGTGGTGGTGGGGGGGACTGGGCAAGTGGCATATTTACTGGAGGGCCAGAGCTGGCTGGCTACAATGGCTAGTCTGTGTGCGTGTGTTTGTTCTGTATCTATGTGCATATACACACCTGCCAATTCATGACAGGTGAGACAGATGACATACTCCCACAACACACAACGCAGCACTGTATCATGAAGTAAGTCTGTACAGTCTTCAAAAAATCTAACCTGGGTTGTGAATTACGCTCTTCTAGCCCCTATGTGAATACAACTAAAACCTACAGTCTTGTTAGCAAGAGACTTCTGCCAACAGGTGGCAGCAAAGCATACTCCTTCTGCATATGTATGTTGTGTGTTTGTGTGTCCGTGTGTGTGGATGTGAAAGCCCCTCAATGCTGAGAAACAGTCGGCCACTATTTATAGGGCGAGTAGGGGAGGGGATGAAGAGGAGACAGAGAGAGCTCTCAAAGCAGTGATCCATAAGACTGAAGGACTCAAAGGCAGAAATGCAGAAATGATGCCTGCGTCTCCGATGTGAATGTTACAAATTCAAAAAGAGAAATCAATCAAGAGTTGTAGCTTTTACCTGAAAGCTCTTTATTAGAGTGCATTAAAGCTGATTTGTGTATTCATGTTCACGTACATTGCAAGGCTTAGTGCTGTACATCAAGGACATTGTGCTCATGAGATCCAAAGCTTCGCATCAGAGCTGCTGTTCTATTGATTTGTCCCGCCCTTTAAAACGTCCCGCCTTCGTGTAAATTTGCATCCTCAACCTGACCCACTGCATGGACGCACATCCAAATGCCAGTAAAATAATGACCCACATGTCAATATAATGTCCCAGACCATATCAGACAAGTGTCATAAATATGTATTATAACTCCTCTTTCCATCTGGTTTCAGGGTTACTTAAGTAAAAGAAGCAATACTACAATTTACAAATACAAGTATGAATCCTTGAATCATTTTTGTTGTGGAAAGGTTACAACTATACCATTCTCTATTTAACTTTATAGTAACTACTAACTACAGCTAATTGGCTGGTTAAACACCGTAAATGTAGTGCAGTGAAAAGTACTATATTTGCTTTTCTGTATCCTAAAATGTACAATAATATGCTTTCATTTTACAGGCAACACAATAATGGCAATAGTACTCCAAAGTACATCCTTTGTTAGGAGGCCAAATTTAACTTTGATCTTTTAGCATGGAAACACTAAACGACCCCAGTGTTTTTCATATCGTGTTACTTGCATCATAAAATTTTCCTACATCAGCAGTGTATTCTTGCTTCTGAGGAAAGTTAGAGCACAAAGACAATGGGCAGTTATTGGCCACATAGAGATCCAACTAAAGAAACTGTATCAACAGAAAAGGTGACAAAGATAAGGACTTAACACAATGTCCGTGACGCTGTGAGGCGCTTGCAAAGCACACAAGCTGATGAACACGAGATGCAATGAGGAGCCTCTACCTCTGAGCTCAAACTCACATGTAAATTCAGGTTTTATGAGCTGATCAGACTGAAGGATGTGAAGCAAATTGTGGTCAGCTCACTATTGTGCTCCAACACAAGGAGTCTGGCGTTTCATGGCTCTGCCTCAGCCCCAGCCCAGGCCACATCGCCTAAAACATGGCAGTCGCTGAGTTTAATGAGCCAAGAAGTTAATTACGTTTGTTCTTGGTATTTCTAATTCCAGCAGCTGCCATGGGTTGTGTTTGTTTTCTAATGAGCAGAATATGATGACAGTAATGATTTAAAAGACAAAAGGAAAGCTTTGTCCTTGTCTTATATACAAATCTTAATATGTAATGTAGTGTGGAGCAGTGGGATAGAGAAAATGTGAATTTGAAATAAGAAACACATGCGAGACGAACCAGAGGCAGACAGTAGGAGGCAATTAAACAGACTGACTAAAGCAGATATACGAGATGGAAGAGAAGCAGGCAGAAAAATCTAAAACCTTTGACTGTCAGCTTGCAACATGACGCAGTAAAGCTTTGCCACACTTCAGCGGTTTGATCATTGACACTATTCCCTGACACAGCACAGCACGTCAAGAGTTTATTTCAGGAAATTTAGTTGAGAGAAAATCAAATGTCAAGACATCCACGGCAACATACTCCTCTTTTTCACAGAAGCGCTTCCATGCACAGTATTTTTACAGTACACTCTGTCAATAGTTAAATCCCACGAGGCTAATTAGCTCAGGCAGTCTGATTGTAACAGTAAATGTGTTGTTTAAGAAGCAAGAGGAAAACTGTGCCTACAACACCTCCTGCTTTGCTTGTAAGCTCTTAACACACTGCGGCTAAAATCTTGGGTTTTGTGGTATTTAATTGGCCGTTCCCCTGTTGGGTTCTCCCTGCAGAACAACGTGTAATGATAATGTATGATCCCCGGTGAGTGTTAACCTGCCAGGCTACATGAATCCAGCAAATCAAATTCACTCCATTCTTTGTACTGGCACAAAGTTTACAGTATTATTCTTTTTCAACATTTTAATGACCTGCTCCACTGTTATACACCTTTGCTTTTCTCTGTCAGTGCCTCAAGCATGACGGGTTTCTTGGATTTAGGTGCTCAGAATTGTTTTTTGCTGAAGCAATGAGTCTTTTCAGTACAAAGGGGGGCTTAAATCTCAATCCATCTTTTTCTATAACTGTCTGAATCATTATCTATGCCTCTCTTGCACTTTTATCCCTGCCCAGCTCTTGTCTGATGTCTCTCCTCTCTGCCTCCCTTCTTCATCTGATGGGAAAGCATCTGGTGTCAGAGGCTAAAGAAACGAAGCTCTCTTCTACCTTATTCATCTGAAAAGGATGA